TTGAATAAAGGTAAAGTACCCAGTAGTTGAACAGGCTTCAAAGTAAAACGTATTTGACCCTAGTTGTAATAAATAAAGATGTAATTATTAGTTCAAATTAGTGATTTTCAAGAAGATATAAACAATTCTGAATTGAAGCGTAAAATAACAAAGATAATTCAATATTTATATGTTCACAACGTTTTTGAGATAGACTATGAAAGGAGTAATAGTTGAACAATCAATTCTGACAAGTCGCAGTAGTGGTTATACGGCGCGAGATCCGGCGACATTGTATCCGCGGCGTTGTATCCATGACTACGTCATTGACTTGTCTTATATGACAAATTTAACTACAATTTATTTGTTATTTACCGTAAGATAGACGGTGGCGTTTGTTCAGTCAGGTCTTAATAGGTGATTGAATGGTAGTTACGGACAGTGTCTCGGATAGCTTAACTGGTAGAGCCTTTGACGCGTAACCGAACGATCCGGGTTCGAGTCCCGGTCCGGGCTGTCCGAATTATTATTTTTTCAGTTACCAAAAAATTCCTACTGAGCAAAAAAAGGTCCCCCCTTTCCCTTTATCCTTATTTACCCAGTTCCCTAAATTTGTCGCGGACATTGTGACGCGAATATTGTCGCGGATGTAATGGCCTCGGATTCCGTGACGTGTAACCGCAGTAGTTGAACACTCCCGGAGCAGTAGTTGAACTAATAAAATATATGGCAATAGGCATAGCAAAAATTTTCAACGTTTTATTGAAATTTCAGAAGAATTATAACATATTATTGAATAATATTCAAAATAATACTATGAATATTTAATATGTTCATTGAAAAATGAGAAACATTTGTATTTAATTTTTTAATTACATTTTTTATAAATGACAAAGCAAATTTTCAATTAATCAATTAAAAATCAAAAAAACTCAATTCAAAACGTTCAATAATTTTTAACTACACTAATTTTTAGATATAAAACTTATTTAATTTGCAATAATTAATACAAATCACAATGATGATCTCTAGTCTATAAACCTATTAGAGATTAGAGTGCTGTTAAAATTATACGGCCCCAGCTTGTTCAAGTTCTGGGTACCGCTTTGAAATTTTGGAGGTATAGTTAGACGCTAAAATTTAATATAAAAATTATAGTTTATGTCTTTGCAAAAAATTTGTATTATCTAGAAAAGACTATTTCATTGGGTGGTACAATTTTTAACTTCCCGCTAAAAATCTCAGATTTTTAAAAATCGGGAAGTTATTGTTTTCACCCCGTTTTGCAAAAACCGAGTTTTCATCAGATCTCGACGTGTGAAGGTCACAGGAAGCTTCCCTGACTATCCCCGCGAGGTTGTCACGGTGTCTGTATATATGTGTGTGTGTGTGTGTGTGTGTGTGTGTGTGTGTGTGTGTGTGGTGTATGTGTGTGTGTGTGTGTGTGTGTGTGTGTGTGTGTGGGTGGGTGTATGTGTGTGTGAAAGTATGTGAACCGCTTATAACTTTTAAACGGCTTGACCGATTTGATCGCGGTTGGCACCATTCGAAAGGGCTTGACCAAACTTAGATTTCCTGAAAATTTGAACCGATTCGGACCAGTAGATTTTGAGAAATTGCAAAAAAAACTACAAAAAAAAATTTTTTGAAAAGTGGTTTTTTTGGAATAACTTTTAAACGGCTTTACCGATCAATTCCAAAAACTAATCAGCTCTTAACATCGAAAAACCGCGTCGATCGCCGCCAGACCGGTCAAAATCGGTTGATTCGTTCGTGAGTTATCGTGAACGAAAGAAAACCGAAAAAAGTGTTTTTTCGGAATTACTCTGAAATTTTCGGTTCGATCAATTAAAACCTGAAAATAACTTATGAGGATGATAAAACTGTGTCGAATGCCGCCAACCGCGTAAAAATCGGTTGATCCATTCAAAAGTTATTGCGATTTGAAAATTAAAAAAATAGTGTTTTATCAAACTTCTATCAAACTTTTGAGCTCGAAGAGCTCAAAAGCATACAAAAGCTATTTTTTTGAGCTCGGAGAGCTCAAAATAATACACAAATTGTATTTATGAGCTCGAAGAGCTCTAAAACGTCATAAGTGCAATTTCAAGCGTTTAGGTATAGAATTGGCGGGAAGTTGCAGGGATGGCCTTTAAAGTGAACCGTTTTTCTAATTTTTTTACGGTTTAGTACCTTTTTCACGAAAAAAATAGCATCTATCGGCTATTCTCGACATGTCAACTTTTAAGTTAACAAAAATATAGATATTTTGATTTATAATTAAAAAAACTAACAGAAATCAATTACTGTATCATTGAATTATTATCACATGCGCATATTACTCATAATAAATATACGGATTTTGTATTACAACAATTCGAAAAGTCTGTTCAAGTACTGGTCCCATTTTTATAAGTGTTCAAGTACTGGGTACTTTATCTTATTTTTGATCTCAGATTTTTTTGTGTTTTGAGCTTGAAACTAGTGGAAAAAAATTTAAAAACTGCTTTAGATTACAATTAAGTAATAATAAATTAATAGAACGCTAGACTTACATTTTGGTACAAATTAATGACCCTTATTGTAAGTTGACAAACACGTGGGCCTTTATTATATACATTGAATTATGAAAATCGATATCTAGGTAAAGGACTACGAAATTGACTAGTGCCGTCCAATTAATAAACTCCTCTTGTGAATTTTCGAGTATATAATTAGTTAGTGTAAATATTTGAAATTTGAAATTCATTATTATTTGATTAGAATCAATGTTTAAACATAACATAACTTTTAGAGTACTTCAGAGATAAAAGGATTTGTTAATATTTAATGAAATTATCAACTGTTAATTAGCAATGTATTTATTTAACATCATATTATATCATAGTTTAGATAGTTTTGAATTTCGCTAGTTTAATAATCCCAAATTACAAATTCATGGTATAACTTTTATTTAATTAGCAATCTCACGCTGATAAATTTAAATACAAGCAGAACATACATGTCACACAGCTTTTGCGACAAGGTTGTGTCGTGATTTGTTTGTGATCTTCGCGCCGCATTGAAAGTGAGACTGTTTAATTTAAATATGTATTTTGATGAGGTTAACAAATCTCTGTTAACTGCTAATAAACATATTTATGCCACAAAGAAATAGTTATTACGCATGGCTATGAATTCTGTCATCAAATATTGATTTTGATGCTTTTTACCGAAAATTTTCATTTTAGGAGATTAACGACACAAACCGGGAAAAGATAACATTTGTTTGTTTACTGCTTTAATTTTTTTGTTCAAGGCAGTGTTATGAAAAAACTATTTTTTTATCAGTTTTAATTTGATATTTATTAATTATGCTCTACCGATTTAACTATTGAAAATTGAGTATTTAAGTTTCGAAATTAATTATAGTTATTTTTCTATTATAAACTCTGAGCAATTTATAAATTTTGGTTTTCACTTAAGGGAAATTTAAATTACCAATAAAAATCAAAAGTTCGACCATCAAGATTAATTCCCTAAAATAAATTGTTTTTTGAGTTTTTAAGTTTAATTTTAACCAATTGATGATTTCAGTTTAAAATAATAACTTTTTAAAGTTACCAATTACTATCTGAATCTTTTTTATTCTAAATAACTCCAGCACATTACCGTGAGTAATTAATTTGTTGAAATTTAAATAATTCGTATTTAATCAATTGTTTTATTACTGAACTTAAGTTACATCAAATATTTCAATTAATTCAACAATATATTATCTGCAAACAACTATTCGTGTAAATAAATAATTGTTCTCTTAAAAAATAGTACATTACACCCCTAGGGAAATAAAGTAAGAAATGTGCCAGATCACATGTAATTGTTGGCCGAGGCGAAGCCGAGGTCAACAAACATGTGATCTGAGGCTTTCTTATTTACTTCCCGAGGAGTGTGGATTGAGAAAGAACTGTAGAGGCAGCACTACTGCTGAAAGTGGAGCGCCCTGGTGTTGAAAATGTAAAGCATAGTGATGTAAACAGTGTAATAAATAGTATTAGTTGAAATAAATAATGAAAAAAATAATTAAATTCGGGTTCTTGTCCGTCAAAAATACCCATATTAGGGGTCAAAATGACATAAAAGGAAAAAAGTTATTCGAGTCAGGACACGTTTCGAATGGTGTAGAAACAGAAGATTCAAATAAACATTAAACCATAACCTGCTCAGTTGTCATTCAAACCAAAGTTTCCGATATCCCATAATAAAATAGAGATGAAATGTATGTGGCATCAAACTATTCGTAACGTGATTGGTCGAATATATCATAAGCATGAAAATATATGCAAACTCTATAGTCAAAGCGCGCGCTTGCGCGCGTAAATTCAAATTCTAGTCCCATATCCTAATATAAAATTGAGATGAAATGTATGTGAAACCAATCTATTCGTGATGTGATTGGTTGAAAATAAATATTCTCATTCTGATTGGTCGAAAGTGAATATACTATACATAAACGACACATAAATATATCATGACAATAAATATGACGCGCGCGCTTGCGCACGAAAATTAAATTCTAGTCCACTCTTATAATTTAGATGAAAAATATGAAAATATACATTGATGAAGACATTTTATTCGTAATGTGATTGGTCAAATATATCATAAGCATGAAAATATAGACAAATGCTATACTCATGCGCGCGTTTGCGCGCGCAAAATTCAAATTCTAGTGTCGTTAAAAATACCGATATTGCCTAATTTAATTAACAATTAAAATTCACCTCAAATTAACGACTAACATATATTTACTGATATTTTACAATAAATGCCAAAAAAATATTTAGGATAAATAAAAAATAGTTATAAATCATTGTAAAATTATTGAAAATTTTTCTCTAGGCTCCAAAAAATTTCGTAAAAAGTTAGTCTTTATTTGACTCTAGCGTAGCGCATTAACGTCCTTAAATTAAATGAATAAATAAAAAGTAGCAAAATATTTTTTTTTGTTAATGAAAATTTTATTAATATTAATTTTTTAGTTCATATGAGAACAAGGGTGTTTCGTAGATCGCATTTGCCCCCCGTAAAGTCTAATTACGGTCAGGATGAGCTTTATCGAAGTTTTATAAATTTTTTTCATGGACACGAAGGATTGTTCAGAAAAGTTTATGTCAGAGATGATGACAGTGTTGGGTAAGAAAAAAATTCCAGATTTAAAGTGTTTTAATTATTTACTCCCGATTTTTACAGTGTAATTATAATTAATAATTATTAACAAATATATTTTTTAGAGATTTAAATTTATAATTACATTTTTTTTAGAAAAAATCAAGAACAATTAGAGAGTCCTGATGATACTAATCATCTGGAGGTAAATAATGAAATTGAAACGAGTGTCAAAATTTCTGATGAGAATAATATGAATAATTCAACTGATAATGATAAAAATAAAGTTGTCGAAAATCCAGAGGCTGAAAAAGATGCTCAGAAGAATCCGAAGCGTCCTAGTGGATCAAAGCCTCATTTGAGGAGCAGTAGTGTATCTCTAGACACTTATATGCGCACATATATGTGAACATATATGCACGCATATATGTAAACATATATCTACGCATATATGTGAACATATATGCGGACATATATTTAGCGCAAAAAAAATATATGTGAAAATATATATTTGCATATATTTTTCGCATATATATTTTTCCATGCGGGGTTTTATGCCCGGAGGGGAAAAAAGAATCTAACACTGGTTGTATGATTGTAGATACCACCGATTGGCATTTTTTATAGACATTACTGAGGAGAATCATTAAAATCGACTTTATTGAGGTATTATCAACGTATCTTGTGCATACTTTGATTTTTGTCCGCGTATTTATTTCACATACAACAAAAATCAGTTTGTTTTTTCTTGATACGGCTTAAAGCTGTGATATTTATGCACAGAAAATAAGGTTCACTTGAGCCAAGAAAATATTTTTTGACACAAGAAATTTCACTTATTCCAACAAAATTAATTCTCTTGCTTTAAGAAATACGTATCTTGATCCAAGAAAATTTATTTAAGTCAAGAAAATCTTCTTGTTTTGAGAAAATTCAGTCTCTTGCTCCAAAAAATTAAATATCTCGATAGAAGTAAATTTTCATTAATATTTTTATTGATTAACATGTCAAATGGGAAGGTCAAATAGCTATTGAATCATTTTTTTTCATTCAATATGTATAATTGCACGCTAAAATAATATAAAATGGGTACATGGAAAAATGTAAACTGTAATATTCACTCGGATTCCGGTTAATTTTTATAGTTTCAAACAGTAAAGTGGACATCAGGGTGGTAAAAATATAAATATTACAGAACTTAATGCAGAAAGTATAAAAGCCACTATTTATAATTTAATATCCAAAATAAGTGATTAATAGCTGTCACTATATAGTAAATAACGACTCTTTCATCTTAAAAAATTACAGTTTCAGTCAGTAAAAATTGCCATTTCAATATATAGTCCATATTATGAGGAGAAGGGGAACTCAGATGAAAGAGAAGGGGGTCTCACTCTGGGAGAATTTAACATTTCAAACAGTAAAAATTATACTTTTAAAATATACATTTTACCAGTCCAAGCAAGTCAATAATTACAGTTTGATTTTTAGCGTTGCGTTTAAAATTTACCATTTTACTTTGTAAATATTGACGCTGCTTGTATTAGATATTTACTAACTTTATTTTATACTTTTTACATATCATAAGATCATTTTTTAGCTACAAAATGATAAATATCAAAGTCTGAATTCTTAATTATTATACTTAAACATTTTAGACATTTACATAGCGAATATTACTGTTTGAAATAGTATTTTCTTCCATGTAAAGAGTAAATTGTAATGATTAAATGGTAAATATTATAAAGTAAATAGTAAAATCACAATTTTACTGTTTGAAATGGTAATTTTTAGCAGTTGATCATTACTTATTATAAATCGACTGTTCTTTATTACAGTTTACTTTTTTCCGTGTATCAAATAAGAAAAATAATAATATTATCTTCAGAATTCCTAATTTCCATTCTGTTGTCTTTGAACGCTCATTCGTAGTGTCAGCTATACGCCTATGGCAGGAACTTCCGCTGGATGTCATAAGCTCTTTATCAATAGGGAGTTTTAAACTCAAAATGCTAAATTACCTTTTGGATCTTGAAGCTGGTGGTGAAGGAGTTGTAAATCTTGTAAACATTGTTAAGAGTAGATTTGTAAATTTGTAAATTTATAAATTTATAAATTTTCAAATCGTTATGTTTTTAATTACTTACGAAGTAAATTAAATATTAGTTATATATTCATGTAAATATATTTCCACTGTTTTGTATTCTTGCCATTCGGCTCTGGCCTTGGCATACAATTAATAAATAAATAAAAATAAATATTCAAGAGAAAAATTTTCTCAAAGTGAGAAAATTTTTTTCTCAGCTGAAGTAGGTGGCGCTGCTTCCCTAAAATATCTAAAAATATTGATCAATTATAAAAATTTATTGTATCAAGTATTTATGATAATTTAAATTAAGAAAAAATGACTTCCACCAAGAATAGAATTTCAAGAAAAATTTTTACTTCGGCCAACACAAGTTCGGTCTTCCTTCAGGCACCCGACAAATATTCTTAAGCCAAGAATTTTGTTCTCCAGTTAAGAAATTTTTCTTTCTGTGTGGTTAAAAAAAAAGATCCGGCTATTTTTATAGAAATATTTACTATTTTGTTTAGTTACAAGGTAAAAATATTCAAATTTCATAATCTAATGCTCAAAACTCATTTTTAAAAATGTCAGTTATCACCTTTACATTGTTGTAGATCGATAATTGAACTCACGTATTTTTTAATTCTACAAATTAAATTTGGTATAAAACTTGCACCTGTCTAACTCTAATTACTCACGGTGAAAACAACTTTTTTTTTCCGCTCCCACATATCCAGCGAGAAACTAAATGACATGTTCGTAAAGTTTAATTAAATAAAAAGACTTACGTACAAGATTATAGTGAGGTTTTAATTAAATTATTCTATAAACTTATTTTAAAATGAAGTAATATATCAACGTCATATCTCGTTTATTAATTTTTTTCGTAAAATCTAAAAAAAAACCTTAATTCTCGTTCCAGTTCTGCTTGACTTGAGATGAACTTGTTTAATTAAATAACTGCTTGAAAGTTTAAAGCTCAAATCACATGTTAATTTCATCCGGGACAGGTTGATTCCTAAAATAAAATAACCGAATTACCGTCATAACTATAAATAAAAATAAACATCAAAAAGATGACGAAAAATTTTTCTCTCTGAGAACCAATGTTGGCATTTTAAATGATCACAGGAATTTTTGTCCTCGTGAATCGTTAATTACTCTGGTGAAATAAAATTATGACTTTATAGTACTACGTAAATGTCCACTGAGAGGTACTGAGAGGAATATTTTTAGCCCGACCAAAAAAAAAAAAGTAAAAAAGATCTGACAAACGGTTCGTCGGCAGTCGAGCTTTAATAACTTCTTACTTTTGATGAAATAGGAACTTCTAAAGATGAATTTAAATCATTATGGATTGCCTGATATTTTTTTAAATGAACTTAAAGTATTAGATTATGAAATTTGAATATTTTTATTCTATTTTCAAGAGAACAATTATTTATTTACACGAATAGTTGTTTGCAAATAATATATTGTTGAATTAATTGAAATATTTGATGTAACTTAAGTTCAGTAATAAAACGATTGATTAAATACGAATTATTTAAATTTCAACAAATTAATTACTCACGGTAATGTGCTGGAGTTATTTAGAATAAAAAAGATTCAGAAAGTAAGTGGTAACTTTAAAAAGTTATTATTTTAAACTGAAATCATCAATTGGTTAAAATTAAACTTAAAAACTCAAAAAACAATTTATTTTAGGGAATTAATCTTGATGGTCGAACTTTTGATTTTTATTGGTAATTTAAATTTCCCTTAAGTGAAAACCAAAATTTATAAATTGCTCAGAGTTTATAATAGAAAAATAACTATAATTAATTTCGAAACTTAAATACTCAATTTTCAATAGTTAAATCGGTAGAGCATAATTAATAAATATCAAATTAAAACTGATAAAAAAATAGTTTTTTCATAACACTGCCTTGAACAAAAAAATTAAAGCAATAAACAAACAAATGTTATCTTTTCCCGGTTTGTGTCGTTAATCTCCTAAAATGAAAATTTTCGGTGAAAAGTATCAAAATAAATATTTGATGACAGAATTCATAACCATGCGTAATAACTATTTCTTTGTGGCATAAATATGTTTATTAGCAGTTAACAGAGATTTGTTAACCTCATCAAAATACATATTCAAATTAAACAGTCTCACTTTCAATGCGGCGCGAAGATCACAAACAAATCACGACACAACCTTGTCGCAAAAGCTGTGTGACATGTATGTTCTGCTTGTATTTAAATTTATCCGCGTGAGATTGCTAATTAAATAAAAGTTATACCTTGAGTTTGTAATTTGGGATTATTAAACTAGCGGAATTCAAAACTATCCAAACTATGATATGATATGATGTTTAATAAATACATTGCTAATTAACAGTTGATAAATTTCATTAAATATTAACAAGCCCTTTTATCTCTAAAGTACTCTAAAAGTGGTAACTTTCTAGTTATTATTTTAAACTGAAATCATCAATTGGTTAAAAGTAAACTTAAAAAATCAAAAAACAATCTATTTTAGCGAATTGCTCTTGATAGTCGAACTTTGGATTTTTTATTGGTAATTGCAATTTGGTATAGACCGGGTAGCTCAAACGGTAGAGTAGCCGACATGTCTTCGGAAGGTTCTGGGTTCGAATCCCAGTCCGAGCGATCCGAATTTTTTTTCGCATATTCTATAAACTTTCCTTAAGAAGGTCCTTTCCAATTCCTTTCTTAATTCCTTCTTCCCAATTATCTTGTTACGTGAATGTGGAACGCTTCACGATTTTGCGCGTCCCTCTGCCCGTTGTGAAAAGGGAAGAAATGTCCCTCAAGTTAAAACCAAAACTTATAAATTGCTCAGAGTTTATTATAGAAAAATAACTATATTCACAATTTCGAAACTTAAATACTAAATCTTAAATAGTTGAATCAGTCGTAGTTTATGAATATCAAATATACTTTTCGGTTTCTATTTTTCCGAATGTCTGTTCAATATCACACAAATCGTACAACAAGCATTCGAATGTTTATTTAATAACTCCAATAAGGTATCACAGTTATAATACAATATATATTTATTCCAATATGGTACAATGGTACTTGACATACGAGAGTCTTCAAGTGAATACACTCAAAGAGAATATTGAAGCTAGCAAGGACTCGATAATCGGGAGGGGGGAAGAAGCTTACCGAAAACTATCGATCAGATTTTTGAACGCTCTATGGGTTCGCCGCAGGAGATCCAAAGTGAGTCTCTGTAATCGCAAAGAGAATATCTGAGCTTGCAAGGAACCGATAATCAGTAGAGTTGATCTAAAACTGTAAATAATTTACTTTTTCCGAGTTTTCGTGATCAAATAAGCTTTTTTTGCAACTCTATTCAATAAAATTCAGTTATTGGCTTCGTTTTCACGGCGATAATTTATTGAAGAGTTCGGATTAACCGCACCATTGATTCGAGGTGCAATTTATTTTAATTTTGTTTTTGATTTTATCGAAACAATAAATCCTTCCGTTCTTAATTAAAACTTTCCGATGCAGATAAAAATAATTATTTAAGTACTTGCAATCAATTCGATAACGTTTTATTTTGTTGGTCAATAAAATAAAAAATGCAAACTCATCAACAAAAGCTAGATCTGGTTTTTACAGTTAATTCTATATAGAAGTCAAAACCTGTATACTTGAACTATCTCTCCTCAATTATCTTCCCACATGATCTTCATTGGAACGGAAGCTTCGATACTTGATTAGCCAATTACAATCGCAATGATCCAATTTCAAACCAATGCGAATTAGCGGACAGAAACTAATCGATTTCTTCCCTAAGGACGATAATGGCTAGCTTCCAGCTCGAATATCAGTTTCTAACTCTATCATCGCACTCTGGTTAAAAACGCCATTTACGGAAAGTGGAGAATTTTTTTTATAAAAAAATAAAATCGGTCTCTAAACTTAAACCATGCGTCAACTGAAAAAAATTTCAACTACCCTCATCATTTCCAGAGTGATACCCGTAAATCTACACGGAGGAAAAAGTTTTTGTATGAACAGATATAATCGCGAAGCTTGAAACTTTTCGATATTCCTTTCGTTATGTTACAATTTGAACGTTCATATATTAATAAATTTATGACTTTGACAAAAATAAGATAATTGTTTTAGGGAGAATCAAACTTTTCATAAAGATATATGCCCTAGAGGATTGATGCGGAAATTCTTGTTTAAACATAGAATTTAATTTTGCTTGTTTTGAAAATTAATAATTCTCGGAAACAAGAATAATTAAATTAATAAAAGCAGATTGAGTATTTATTAGAGTTGTAGTTAGCAAAGAAACTCTTCTACTTCAAAACTGTAAAAATTACACTATTTGTTCAGGTGTAAAAAAAAATTAGTTTCAAATAATACATCGTCCTAATTTTTGAACTTCATCAGTTTCTATAATTGTGATTTAAAAGTTACAACCTAACACTGTGATTTTCAGGAAAAAATTTCCAATTTAAAAATCATAATCTCACACTGCAATTTTCTTTACAAATTTCTTAAACTTTACCAACTAAGTCGTTTTTGTTCTTTTTCTCAGTAACAGAAATTCTTATTTAAGCTTTAAATTTTAAAGTGTTTAAATAGAAAATAGTTCAAATAAAAGTGGGAAAGAAACCCGCATTCTTGTTGGTTAGTTTTTGCATCGTCGTTGGTAAAGTAAGAAAATTTAATTTTAGGCGCGCAGTAGCCTATCGGATCCGGCCCTTGCTACCAAAGCATTGGACCGGGTTCGAGTCCGGCGTACACCAATGAATATTTTCAATATTTAAGCGTATTATTCTGCTCAGCCCAAGAAATACAAACGAGTTCCAATCTCAAAAGTTTACCCCCTACCGTAGTCGCTCATGACAGTAGTTTATGCGACTTTAAACAAAAAAAAAAAAAAAAAAAAATTTAATTTTCCTGCCGGCTCATGGACTCGAACACTCGATCGCTTGTTTCGAAGACACATGCTCTAGACATGCAGCCAATCCACGTGAGCAAAATTATAAAAGGCATTGTCGTATTTAAACGATTTACTGAGGCGATTTACATACTATATCTTCAAACCGTAAAAATTAACAAGCTTGGGATTGACTTTTTACATTTTAAGTTTTCTAAAACTATTTTCTTTATAGTCAAATTTGCTGTTTGGTATAGGAGTGGTCGATCTTTGCAACAGAGTGTGTAAGATTTACAAAATTGATGATTCTGATAAAATGATTAACATTTATATTTTTTTAGAGTGTAACAGAAGATATGTTTATTTTTTATATCTCTTACAAGTAATAAATGATAAATATTTATTTTTTATTAAATTATTAGTATTTTAAATATAAATATTTAAATTATATATATATAATATTGCAGTTACTTCACAGCAATTTTTTTAAAAGTTTGCTTTGGCTTCGTTTAACTTTAAGTTAAAGATTTAAATCAATTAATTCGATAATCTCATCATCTTCAAGTTCTTTGGAAGTTGACGACTGAAGATAAGCTTGCATGGTTCCGATTTTTTGAAGCACATCATCAGGAAATTCATATGTATTGCAATTTTTACCACACCGCTTTAAACCTGCACGAATGGTTAATAGAGCATTTGTCATTTCTGAGTTCATTTTATTTCTTAGCTTAGTTTTCACAAGATTCATAGCACTAAAAACTCGTTCAACTTCTGCGTTGGAATATGGCAATAATAAAATAGAGAAGGCGAAATCACTTAATTCTTGAAATGGATTTGTTCCTGTTGCATCTTTGTACTCTTTAACCTCAGTCCAAAATTGAACAGTATCATTAACTTCGGTCCATTTTGTGAAGTGAATGGCGTTCCATTGGGTTTCAATGAGCGATATAGTTGTCGATGAGTAATTCAGATGTTCCAGCAAAGGAGTTAAAGATTCCTTGTGAACCTTCAGTACATTTTGACAAGCTAATAAATTTGTTTTTTGTAAAATTTGAATATTGTCCGGTAATCTGTAAAAATAAAATGCAATTATAATTTTTTTAAAGAAAATTGAATAGTTCCATAATTAATATTAATAGATACACAGTTAAATATTTAAGTACCTCGAGCGTAATTCGTGGACCAATTTAATTAAAAATTTAATACACCGTTCTCGTAGTTCTTTTTCTTGCTGTTCTGTTATAGCTTTTTTCTCTTTCAACTCAATAATTTTTAATTCAAAACCAGAACCAAGATATGGACTTGGATCTAAATATTTTTCAACATCAACAGTCAACGGATCAGTGTACGTGCGTTGTAATACGACTTTAGAAACGACAAATCCAATCAAAGTAGTTAAATCTTGGAAGAGTTTACAAGGATCAGCATTTTGGGCTTCAAAAGCCTTATTCACTCGCTGTAATTCCTTTAAAATTGGACATAAGAACAAAAACAAAGCCAGGTTTATCTCGTCACTGTACATATTAAATAACATTTCTGCCACATATTCATGTCTATTTATTTCAAAATGAGTCTTTAATTCTACCCACTGATTTAAAATTCTATCAACCGCAGAATGTATCGATAACCAACGAGTTTGACAAGCTTGAACTATTTTTGCAGGTTCGTGGTTGTCATTAATCAATTTGTACAAAGTTTTATAATCACCTCGTCTACCTGATGATTGAGAGAACCAATTATACGTTTGAGAAGTCATGTAATCTAAATTCCTTGGCATATTTCCTTCGACAGCTTTCGATGTAGCTAGTTGAATTGAATGACACACACACCGAATCAGAATCAAACCAGGAATTTCACGTTTAAGCTTTTGGTAAACACCTTCATTTACACCAGTCATAACACTCGCGTTGTCAGTTCCTATGCCAAGAATATTTTTATAGTTTAAATTAAACTCTGTTAGAGTATTTTTTAAAGCAGAAATTATTCCATCTGCATCACAACTCTTCAACTCAGCTAGTTTTAAAAATGTTGTTATTATTTTTTTTAAAGATGAACTATAATAAATAATCACAATACCGAGATATTTAGAAATGCTGATGTCTGTTGATTCATCTAAAAGTAAACTGAATTTTCCAGTCCCAATGTCATCCTTTAATGTCTCTTTGAAATGTGGACTTAAAATATTTTTTATGATGTTGGAACACTTAGTTCGATGTAAATGAATGTCTCTTATAGTGTCAGAATCATTGACAGCTTTTTTCATCATTTGTCCTAGGTGGTCAACAGTCGCTATGCTGGTATGTTCAGCAATAAAGAGTGAGATGTAAGCCTCACAAACCTTTGTTTTTTCAATTGACTTTTTTATCACAGGCAGGGTTTTTTGTCTCATCGGTGAGCATATGTTTTGCCGTTCTTTGTGCTTTTTTGTTTCTATATGATTTTTTAAATCCGAGTATTTATTATTTTTACTTACAACACACATACAAAATTTGCAAGATGCCACGAATTCTCCTGGACTTGTTTCTTTTCGCACAATCCAATCCTTACATTGAATATCTTGAAGCCATTCGTTGCGGAACTTTTGTTTATAAATAGGATTTCCAGCAGTCTTTCCCATATTTATTGAGAGCAATTACAATTATTCAACAAAAACTCTTATTACAGATCAAAAATGCGTATTGCTGACAGAAGAATCATTTTTAGAATTCCATAGGAGCGACAACAATAACGAAAGTAGATTAGACGCTGTACATATGATCATACGGAGAAAGATATGCGACTTAAACAGTAAAGAGAGAGAATGAAATAAATAGAGACGTTGATAGTTTTCTATATATTCAACAGTAGTCTATCATTACGGCCGACCGACGGCAACACAGTTTTCGAACTGTTATTTGAAAGAATTACGTCAAGTAAAAATTGACTCTTTCTAATTTTTAAAGATAAGAACGTGATGCATATTTTTCCATATTCGTAAGCTTAAAAAAATAAATAAAATCACATTTTAATATTTGTCATGTCCAAATTATTTTTATTTAGAAAACAAATCCAATAATTATAAATTTTTGTTGTCCCGCTGAAAAATCCGTTGGCCGTTAAGCGCAATTTTTTCCCGTTGCCGACCTTGCTGACCCGTCAAATCTAACGGGAAACCCGTCAAGTTGGCAACGCTGTTGAATATTTAAATTACAAAAAAAAAAAACGAGAAATATTCTTTATTCTGATCGATATTCTCAAATAAATAAATCTATTGGTGAACAAATAATTATTTGAAAAAATATACAACCAGATTTTTTTCTTAATTTTTTTTTTTCTAGATATGCATTTTACGATTATTATTTCATTTTTCTGTTTTTATTTTATTCTTAAAATCAGAGTTAATTTATGATACATTTATAACGTTAAATTTATTTAGTTAAATTACGATCTTTTCTCAAAAGAAAGTAGTAATACGATAAATTATATATTGAAATCTTTATTGACAGGTGTATTTGATGCCTGCCGGCTTCGCCTGTCGGCTTCGCCTCGGGCATATGGCGCGCAGTGCAGGAATCTCAAACTTTCTGCCCTTGTAGTGTGATATACTATTATATACATTTTCTTGATGAAAGAATTTTTCTTCTCAGTCTTTTGATCATTAGATCTTCAAATATTATAAGAAAGGCTCTTGCTACACGGAAAGAAAATTGAAGGAATTTTTATTATTTTACTATCGTAATTTTTTTTTTCATAAAGTAGAAACGGTGAACTATACTTATTTATTTAGTAATTTTTACGATCTAAGGTTCTATCCGAGCCCCCAAATACCCCAATAGATGGACACCCCCCAATAGATGGACAAATATTATTTCCAGAAGCAATTGCATTAGTTTTAAGAACAAAAATCTTAAGTCGTTATTTTTTTTATGTCAACATATATGTTCTGAGAGCGAGAAGTAATTTTTTTTTAACTTTTTATTTAAAATAATAGTTTAGAAAAGTTATTTAAATTTGACGTCTTGATTTGTTATTATTATTAAAAATAATAAAAAAAGTAAGATATGTACATTTGATTACGCTTATATTTCACTAACAAAGCTAGAAATATAATATTTTAATAATAAAATTGAAAAAAAATAATAAAATTTAGTGTCTACACGAAAAGAACAAAATGACACTGGATATCATCCTAAATTATCCTCAGTGATATCTGTGGTGAAAAAAAAATTCAGATAGTAGCTAGAAAAATCCAGATTAGACTGCGTGATAACTGGATTATACTCATTGTAATCTGGATTATACTAGCTACTATCTGAATTTTTTTTCCCTCAGTATAATCTGGGATGATATCCAGTGTCATCTTGTTCTTTCCGTGTATCTATTGGTCACACTTTTCTGAACTCTATCCAATAGATAAACATTGAGTTTATATGATGAATTTTCTTATTTTTTTTTTAATTTTATTGGTGGATCAATGTGAGAATAAGAGTAAAGATTATAATAAACAGACATGTACTGAAAATAAAAGTATTATTATGATTATTGAAGAAATTGAAAAGAAAAAAAGAAAACGCTGAATAAAAGAGATAATTGAGAGAAGAAAATTTAAAAGCAAAAAGAGAACAGACCTATTAAAAGGAAGAAGACAACATAAAATGTTTTTAACGTTGTGTTTTATAAATTTATATTGATTATTTATTAATTATTAGTATTATTTATATTAATATATTTTATATGTTACTTTGCATGAGAAAGCATCACGTGTTAAAAAATAATAAAATTACTTTATGATATATTTCGAAAATTACTATCCGATTTATCACCTTTTCTTTTAATTTTATCAAGCTTTATTTTTTAGTGGAAAAAATTAATTATTTCTGATATAAATAATGAATTAAAAATATTGCTTGTAAGTAGTGTTCATAGTGGAGATTCTGTCCATCTACTGGGCTTTTGGTCTTTTTTTTACATTTTTCTTTTTTATTAATTACTACATCGTTTCACGAAGTTTTACTTATTTTTTCCTGTATAATTATATATTTTTACATAAATATAATTTACTGTATCACAATTTATCTGTATATTACTATATTGTTTTTTTAATAGAACACGAGAGTTTGCTTAACCGTCCATCTATTGGGGTATTTATCCTACTATTGTAAATTTTATTTGACAAACAAGACTAACAAGAGACTTAAAAAGTCGAATACTATAGAGCAAATTATACAAGATGTGTTAGTGAACTTACAGTAACTTTGTAGTAACCGAAAATACACATATTAGGAATTTGCGTCCGGGAATCGAACCCAGAACTCTTAGTTGGTTAGCCAGAGACTCTCCCTCTACGCTATCCGAGGTAAACTACTATTGATGTCCTTCAGCACTTACATAAACTCGGAGTCTAGCGCTGTGCACGGTCATTACTCACATTAATTGAAAAACATTCCAATTCAACTATTGTAAAATTTGTAACTTCTATCGGAAAGATATAAAGGCAGCACTGGAAATTTTTGTTCTCTTACTTTTTACAATAGTAATATCGTATTTTCTCTAATCGAATTTAATACAATATTTGGTGAAACTACGATATCAAGTTGTAAAATCTCGTAAATAAATAGTAAATTTTCTTCTAAAATATTTAACAATTATTCGTAATTAAAGTACAGACCAATTTTACAATAGTTGTATCGTAAATTTTCCCAGAAATTTTTTTCCGTGTAGTATTACTTGTTGAATAAAATTTACGGTGGTAGATCATAAAAATTATTAAATGAAAAGTATAGTCCACAGTTACTATTTTATTTAATAAAAAATTACGATAGTAAAATAGTAACAATCACTTTAATTTTCTCTCCATGTATTGGAAAAAAAGAATTTTTATATTCGACAGAAGCCACTGTTTAATTTTAAAATTGTAACAAATATCTTTTTACGAAAAACCTCTATGTCAATGTTAGCTCTTATAGATGAAAACATATACCGCGTGTATAAACACAAACAAAAGCGTTGTTGATATACTAGCTTACAAGTATTTAGTTTTTTTATTGTTTGCTACAAACGGTACAGGTTTGAATAATAATTTCCGATGGTTTCATCATACTCATAAAAAATTAAAAATTGAAAATTTTGAATTAAAAATTCTGAATTATAGAATAACTTTGGACCAAGATAAAAAGTTACTTTAAGAATCTTTTATCTCAACGAGGGTATTCAATAAAAAAATGCCATTACCTTGGAAAAATATACTATTGTAAAGGAACTATCTGTATCGTTTGCTATAGCGAGTTTAACTTGGTAATACTCCGCTTAAATTGGACTTTCATAGGGGTTGCAAAAATAATGTATTCTACAGGTGGACTGAGGAGAAAACAGGAAAATCGTGATCACAACACTTGCCTTAAGGTTTATGTTACTGCCACACTTGTTCTAATGTACATGCGGCTAAAACGTTAACATGTTGCAACAACACGTTCAAATTATTTGCTACTCAATTTATGCGTAGGGCATGCGCTTTAAAAAAAAAAAAAAAAAGTTGACCCAGACCATTCTTGAACTTCCCGCTATTTACAAGCTTACCACGCTTGAAAATTTACCAATTACACGGAAAAAGGAGAAGTTAAATACTTGTAGTTTTTAAAATAAAAAAAGACTCCGCAAAAAAGTGAAAGCTTACAGCATAAGTTGTGGTTGTTAAAGTATTTTAAGCAATAAGATATTTCAATTAAAAGTAGTAAATTTTACAGTTTGAAAGTGAATTTTTACTCGCAAGGAAATTGAAAGCATTATTTACATTATACTTTGGAATATTTCGTCATTTAAGAACTATTAAGTCATGAATGAAACTGTAAACATTAAAATTTTCTGGTGACTTATTTTTTACTCAATAAACAAAATATTTTGAACTTTCATCTATATAACAACCATTACACTGTGAACTAGTAAAAGCCAAGGTTCATAAACGAGCTGGGAAATATTACAACCCACACTGTAAATCTTACACACTCTGTTGCAAGGGTCGACCACTCCTCTACCAAACAGCAAATTTGACTATAAAGAAAATAGTTTTAGAAAACTTAAAATGTAAAAAGTAAATCCCAAGCTTGTTAATTTTTACAGTTTGAAGATATAGTATTTAAATCGCCTCAGTAAATCGTTTAAATACGACAATGCCTTTTATAATTTTGCTCACGTGGATTGGCTGCATGTCTAGAGCATGTGTCTTCGAAACAAGCGGTCGAGTGTTCGAGTCCATGAGCCGGCAGGAAAATTAAATTTTCTTACTTTACCAACGACGATGCAAAAACTGTAACCAACAAGAATACGGGTGTCTTTCCCATCTTTATTTGAACTATTTTCTATTTAAACACTGTAAAATTTAAAGCTTAAATAAGAATTTCTGTTACTGAGAAAAAAGAACAAAAACGACTTACTTGGTAAAATTTAAGAAATTTGTAAAGAAAATTGCAGTGTAAGATATTGATTTTTAAATTTGAAAATTTCTTCCCGAAAATTACAGTGTTAGGTTGTAACTTTTAAATCACAATTATAGAAACTGATGAAGTTCGAAAATTAGGACAATCTATTATTTGAAACTAATATTTTCTACACCTGGACAAATAGTGTAATTTTTACAGTTTT